ATATTTAGAGAAGTAAAATCCATTAAAACAGTTTTTAAAACACAGGGCCTTCCTATTAGATACATAGTTGTCATCTCTCTTTTGATTTATTCATAAAAATGCAAACAGACATATGTGATGATGCTCTTCAGACCAAATCCCCGTTCTGAGGGTTCCTCATTCCAGCACACACTGCTCAGTTGTGACCACACTCTCCTAACACAGCCATATGTTGAATTTCCCTGTAAGCCAAAACATAATCAAGATAAATTTCTGGTGTGACCAAAATTAAATAGTAACAGAATTGGGTCACTAAGAATCTTCCTTTATGTGCAAACTGAGCATTTAACCTCATGAAAGTGAAGTGCTTTTTTTAATCCTAATTGTCTTCTACTTTTTTTTTTTTTTAAATATATTTAGTCTAAAACAAATCCCTCATTACTTTCCAGAGAAATAATTTATTCACTTGTAGATGCAGTGAAAAGCAAATGATATTTTAGATATCTCAGCTTCAGGCTTCCTTTGTGCTATCAGAGGAACATCCCTGATTCCACAAAAATTATTTTATAGAAAGCAATTTATTAAGCCTCACGATCTGTCAAGAAATATGAATATTGATGTGTTCACATTAACATCTCCTGGAGCTGCTGAAAACTCCATTTGTCATGACTTAATGGGAATTACATGTTGCACAGCAACAGGTGACAGGAGCTTAATTAAAGCAAAACTGATAAAGTATCTGAGCCTTTATAAAAAATGTTTTGTTTTTAATATCCTAAAGAACCACTTGCATGTTTTCATTGATGGGAAAGGGAAGGTAACTCTGGTTTACAAGATAAAACCTAGAACAGGACAGGTGCTGCTTATCAGATGGCAACTGCATCTAACTAACTCAATTACTCAGGAATTTAGATAGCATAATCATGTAAAAATGGCCATATCCAGTTATATTTTACTTAGATTCCAAAAGAAAAAAAAAGAACAGCAATGCCTTTATGGTGAAGAGACAGAATTCTTTTGAGAGCATAATTAAAACTTATTATTAAAGTTTAATCCTGTGTTGGTCCTAGGGTGAATTAATTCTAGATGTTCACAGCAGGAATCTTTTCTTTGCCTTAAATCAACAAATCCACAGAAAATACATCCTTTCCTCAACTACAGCAATAATTTTATTTTGTGGGATTGGGCATCAGTGCCCAGGTATTTTGTTAAAAAAACAAATCCCATCAGGCTGAAGTATCAAAATTAAGTATGAAAATAGATTAAACAAAATATGTCTGTTTAAATGATACCAGCTTTTTAAAAGAAAACAAACCCAGTCTTTACTTACTCTGCTGATTTAAGATACAGAGGTAGACTTGGATTTTTTGTATAATTGAACTTGAAATAAACCCTGTCTCTTTCCTTTGAAGATTTATTCCAAAAATTCCAGTAACCAATAATCTGTGCTCTGCAGCCCTGTAGCATGGTGGGCAGTGGGAATAGGGTAAAAAAGCACAATAGTAGCACTTTGTGCAGAGTATAAATAAAAGCAGCAGATGAGACAATGGCAGTCTTAATGTCAAAGGACTCTTCCAGGTGAGACTAAAATTTGGATTTGATCGCCTGCCTATTTTTTTAATCTGGAATCACGATTTTGGTACCTTATGGATTTTAGATGTTCTTGCTCTGAGTGGGTGTGTTCATTCCTGTCCCGAAGAGCTCGGCAATGACAGCCTACATGTTACTTTATTTAATTCTTCTAGAATTAGTTCTATAGTGTTTGCTCGGAGGCCAGGAGATATTTTACAGTGACTGTGGTGGGATTCTCATTTTTAAACAGCTTTTCCATGTTAAGAATTGTGATGAATACGTGATTAAGAAATAACACTGACAAACAGTGAAGTAATTTAAGGTTCATAAAGGAAGTGAATGACAATTTCTGGCTGTTTTGGAGGTCGCTATATGGTGAAATTGCTTTTTTTGGAGTGCTCTTCACCATTTCCCATGGTGATTGGCCTGGCTCACATTGTTTTCTCACACTTTTAAATTTTCTTTACTACCTGGAAAGAAAAGGCTCCAAACCCAGCATATTCTTCCTCAAATAAAAAGAAAATGGGAAGGTGGGAAGTTGTTGCAATGGTGCAATGCTCATGGTCTGCCAAGGAATTGCATTTTGCCATTTTTAGCCAAAGGCAGGATACAAAAATACAAATCTTGAAAGAGGAATGGAAATTCCATGTGAAAGAGTTTCTGTGGAATAAACATTTCCTGAATAAAAAGTGGCTTTAGGCTACTTCTCTTTTCCCCTGTATTTTTTAAGTACTGCAGGTCAACTTTTGTTTTGAAAATAACTTTTTAATGAAAGGTGGCATTTTAATGAATGCTACTGTTTCAAATTCCTCTATAACTGAATTCCTCTATAACTGAATTAGTTATTGAAGTACTAAGGTAGAATATTTTCTTCTTTCTGTTCCTCTCACCACTTAGCCCTCTAGTTTTTCTCAGAGCAATGGATCTTGTGCATTGCATCTCCGAAATTTGAAATGGATCAGATGCAGCATTAATGAGTTCTGGAAGCGGATGAGAACAATTAGTAGCAATTAGTCCCTTGGAAATGAGGGGAAAGTGCAGACTCTGCACACCCCGCATCTTAAAGCTTTTAAGCACAAAGCAGAAAGCAGTCAGCTTTTCATATCGAAGAGCTATCAATAAAAGCCTAATAGCCAACCTCAAAATGACAAAAAAACCCAATAACTAAAGTAAATAAATAATTTTTTTTAATCTATCATAAGTAATTGTTATTTGTTAACAACCAGCTACCACTTAAAATCCTCCAGAAGACAGCATTTAAATCAGTGGAAGACTCTGGGTTCTGCATCAACCTATTCCTCCATGAACAGATACTACAAAATAAAGATAATTTAGAATACAAGATGCTGGAATAAAAGAGATTTGCACACAGGCTGCATAGTTTGTTGCACCTCTTTCCTCTCTGCATTCCCCTGACTTTCATTCTAATGCCTTTCAGTATCCCTGCCTCAAAAGATGATGTATCATCTAGTTCCTGTGAATAAGAACTGCTACTTCTCTCTTGAAAAGGGTTCTTTAAATCCTACTTGTTTTCTGGAATTCAGCTCCAAACTAAGCCAGAGGCACAGCGAGGAAATGCTGGCAGTGGTGTTCAACAGCTGTGTAGTCTACAAAATTCTTCCCCCCTTATATGTAGCCTCTTGGGGCAAGGAAATGCTATTCCACATTCAGAAATATCCAGTGAACAGGCTGATCCAAGGTACTTGTAAACAGTGAAGGTGCAGGAGCAAGGCTGCCTCCCCCTGTCATTGCCTGCCCAGCTGTGGTGTGAGAGAAGGACACAGAGCCCCCACTGCCTCATTCAGCAGTACCAACACATCAGAAAATGGCAACTCCTAAATAGCATTTTTCTTTTTATGCCTACCAAGTCATTTGTAAAGGGCCATTTCTGCCCAAGCTGCATATAAATCCTAGGTTGTTAGTGGATTGCTGCTCTCTGGCTTCATCTGCACAGAGCTCTGTGCCAAAACCACGGCTCTGCAGGACCTCAGTCGTAAAGAAGAAAATGATCAATAAGCCTGGGCAGCCTGTGACGCTCAGTGACAGATTTTCACTGCCTCTACGGCTGTATTTTAATTTAGACAAAAATAGTTAACAGCGCAGTTGCAAGGGAAAAGAAGTCATCTGCTTCTTATCTAATGTGTAATTCAAAAATTCCTATAATTGATCTTCATTGACAGTTTTTGCAAGCTCACTCACCCACACTGCACATATTGTGCTTCCTGACATAATTCCCGACATAGACGATGATATTTCAACAGAGGAAGCTTGTTAAATCAGGTCAAACAAAATAAAGAATTCGAATGTGCTGCAAGTCCTTGCAGCTGTCTGTCTTTTCACCCTTTCCCCTTATCCCCACCAGAAAAAATACAAACCAAAACAAACAAAACCCACAAAACAACAACAAAATGCACACAAAACAATCCAAATACTGGTAATTTTGTAACGGGCTAAAAATACAAAATTCAGCTTTGTTAAATGTTGATAGGCTTCTGAATTAAAATACATTATTTTCTCCCAAGATGCTGGACTATTACTGTTGATCAGACATAACTGCCAGTCTTTTATTGCTTCCACATGGTTTAATTTTCCCTGGAAGTGTCATATATATTCTAATGATCTGCTGAATTAAAAGAATTCTAAATCGGTTCCCAGTTGATGAGATGGTGTTTCTGAGATAGGACAATAAAGGGCATTTTCTCTCACAGACAAACACAAAAATTCAGGAGGTGATAATGGGTCCTCAGGTGTCTGAAAGAGCAATACATAATCTCAGAGCAACACAAACAATAGATGCATTTTCCATTTACAATGACTGTAAATAAAGAGGAACATAATGTTTCTGTTTTATAAAAACAATCACTGGCCTAGGCAGCATTCTCCAATTACTCAGACTACTCTTATTCTTCAAAAACTGAGATAGAGGAAGGGTTCAACAGACTAACAGCTAATAGATACAATTAATGGTAGCAGAAAGTCAGATAAGTTCAACAGAAGCATGTTAGAATAATAGATACAAAAGGATGGCACAGGGGAACCCCATTTTAATGTCCATAAATACAACTCTAGCTTTTAAAACAAAACATTTGAAGTGCAGAGTGAGGCACTTTTCCATAAAGGTAGATTCCTTTATTCCAGATTCTTTTTCCAGCTCTAGGTGCTAATTCTATAGCAGTTGAGAGATGATTCCTATAAATCACCTCCCTGACCCACAGGCCTTTCCCTCAGCGGCTGGAGGTGGCTCTTAGGCTGTGCTGCTGAATGATTTTCCAATTTCTGGTGGCTATAGCACTGCAGGTTATTTATGCTACCACTTATTGAGCTGAAAAGTCATCAGGAGAGAAAGAGAAGCAACCAAGGGTGACGCATGTGCAGACACACTAAAAATCACAGTAAGCTCTTACCTTTCATGCCCACAAGTTCCCAGGAGGCTCCTGCACTGGGCAGGGATGTCGGTGTGCTTCAAAATGTGAGACAATGTTTCCTGAACTCTGCAGACATATCATGTTATGTGCAAGCATCTCCTTTTTCCCACTGAGTAAATTCTGAAACACTCAACAAACAAAAACACTTGAAGGGCAAACGCATAAATATTTCAGCTAGTTGTATATAGGTTACTCCTTTGGAGTTAAATAACTGGAGTAAAACTGACACAGTGTGTATTTTATACTGAGTAGCACAAAACTGACCCAGGGAGTAGCAAGGATTATAAGGCAGACTGTGGAATGGGAAGCCATACAGGCTCTTCTGCAAGGATATTCAATAATGGAATGTTTGGAAGGTAGTTGCTGCCTTTGTTTTTTGGCCTTCACTGAAATGTCTTCATTTAAGTGTAAATTTGGGGAAGCAAAACTCATCTGTCTATATGATGGCTTTATATGAAAACAGTGAGGGAAAATAAAAACTAAATTCTTCACATAAGGCTACATCTGACATTGACCCAAAAGACAATGACTAAAATAGGCAAAAACATGTTTATTTAAACTAAGATACACTTTTAATATCAAAGCGTTGCTGAAAGAAACCAGATATCCAAATAAGTGGCAAGCCAACCCACAGCACTGAAATAATGTACAAAATATGATTTTTGATTACTTTTCCCTTCCTGCTCAACAAGGCTGATTTCATGTCATTCTAGGCAGGCAAAGCTATGAAGCTTTATAAAATAACCTGATCTCTGAGAGAGAGGAGAATTGCAGACCAAGGGCATTCAGCCAAACCCAGAGCCTGGATTGCTGTGGAGTTTTATCAGTCTCTACATCCAGGATGAAAGGCCATTGAGTAAGAAAAATATGCACCCAACCTTCATATCTTTTGACAACAGCATGTCAACACATTCGTTGATCCCAGTGAAGAGTATCTGGCTCCCTTTTTGTCACATCACTGCCTTCACACGCCCCATGGGAGACGTTGGCTGTGAACTCACACCAAGGCTGCACTAAATGTTCATTAATGTCATTCCCAATGCAACTGAGCTCACCCTGCCCCTGCAGGCATGGAATGCTGTACAGCAAAATGCAAAAATGGGAAACAAGAATAGAAGGCATTTTATTAAGGTAATGTTCACATCTAAATTTCACCCCCATATAGATAATGTGTGGGTGAATATTAGATTTAAGCAATTAGCTTAATGCTGAATATTTTAGTGACAAATATGGTCTATGCACTTCCTAAAATGTCTAGAAGTATGCAAAGCAATAATATGGGAAAGACAGGATAGAAAGAGAAAGGAAACTTTTAATCTTAAGGTTTATTTTTAGGTGATCCATTGAATGAAGGTTTGGCTTTTCCTTACAACACCCACACCCATGCAGCAGAGCAAAGATTCTGATGAATGTGATACCCAGAGTATCACAGCTTTCTTCATGGTTGTTTTTTTCATATAATGTAGTCAGTTAATTAGATTTCCTCTGATCAATCATTGAATTACCGCTTCAAAAGGCATTATGCTATGATGAGAGTGCCTCGCAGCAGTTAAACACTTTGATTTTTCTGTCCTAACACATTTACAACTGATGTCAACTAGGTCCTCCCAGCAGGAATAAATAAATACTTTTTAAAATTACAAGAATAATTTAGCTCACAAATAAAAAAATACTGTAAAATGGACCAGTAAAATTACTGTAATATGGATTCATTCTCTCAATTGGTCCTTTCTAGTATTTAAGACCAATCTCTTTCATGTTTTCCATCTTCCTTATGTTTTGGTCTCAAGCCCTCTGGAGCTTCAACCTTCTCTCTTGCTCTTGTTCTGTTCAGCTGTTGAATACCATCACTGTTACAAATATCTGTGACTTCAGCTGTGTTACAGCAGCTTCTTCCTTGATCCTCACGAATCTGACTCAAAAACCAAAGCCGTGTAGTCATTGCAAAGAGATATTGACAGGAACTCTTTTGTTTTCCTTTTGTGACTTGGCTCTTGAAGAGAAACTGTGATCTAAGGGTTGCGACTGTAGGTCTCAACTCCGTCATGAGATTTGCATGCCTTGGCATTGGGGACTGTTGGCAAGTTACTGCCTTGGCTTTTCCTCATCCCTCTGTGAAAGGGGAACAGGGATTACAGGACAATGTCACCCCAAGAACTGCCTCATTATAGTTTCTGTGAAGAGCTTTGTACTCCTTGGAAAGCAGACAGTACAGGGAGGGGTGGTGTGTAGTTTTGGGAAAGGTCTGGTTTTGCTTCCTCTCCAAAAGCAGATGCCATGCGCCACATCCAGGGATCTTTGCACAGTGCTGTACAGAGTTCTTATGTTTGCAGTAAAACAAGAAAATAAAGAAGCTTTCTACATCCTGCTTTTGTTTTTTTGTGATTCAAGTCCCCAAATGGGGCAAAAAAGATACATTGGTTTTCTGAGCAGTACAAGTAATGGAAAATAATTTACTTTCTAATCCTACAGAAATACTTTTGCCAGATGAAAACTGTTCTGCCATTGCCTTTCCAACAGGGTAGTGCAGTCTGCAAGTAATTAAACAGCAGAAAGCAATACCCATAATTCAACAGTATGTCTTAGCTGTTATTTGGCAATTCTTTTTCTCTTGAAAACTCCTATACATAATATGAGCTTAAAATGGAAATCACTCACAGCAAGTTTCATTTCATTGTGAATTGTTCTCATACACCAATATGTAACCACATTTGTAAGAAACCCAAATCTTTTCCTGCCAGCTGAAGCTGTCCTGCACTCTTACAAAGTCTGCTATTTTGAATTTGAATACCTGCTACGTGGGCAGCAGACCCCAGGAAGATGATACAGCAGTCTGGCAACTCGCCATTCTGTGAAACAGAAGGGTGCTGACAAAACTGAAGGGGATTTAGAAACCAGCAACCAGCATGAGAAGACACAGGATTTTATTTTTTCTGGAGAAATCAAGACTTGGCTATTTTTATAGCAAGGTTGATTACTGCCTCCCAAATTAAACCCCGCTACTCAGGGAAACATATTATCATCTGGAGACTGGTTCCCTGGTACTTGCAGATCTCCCCATGACCAGGCTGACACAGCAAAGACAGATTTCCAGGTGCCTCCAGAGCTCAGAGGAGGAGAGGTTATTGCTCCTGACAGTGCAGAGCACTCCTGGGGCCCAGGGAGACAGTGTGCCCCCTGCCCTGAGAGCTGAACATGTAAAAGGTGACAATGTTCTTTTTAGTAACTCAACTGTTAAAAAGAACCAGAAGAAATCTAGTTTGAAAGCATGAAAAAGGAGAAAGATGCTAGGGAATAGCACTGATTACCTCAAGCTAATGCAGGGTTCCTCATCCGTGTAGAATGAGCTTTAGCTCACCAGGAGCAACTTAATTACTTCTGTTCAATGGTTTTCCACCCACATGTTTATCGTAGTTCGTGCTCTTGGAAAGTGCTGAGGAAACAGCTCAGGGCGTGAAAGGGGATTACTCTCATAGGTAATGGGTGCTGCAAAAGCTCCTCTGAAAGCTGCTGGGCTGCACATACCCAGGATGCCGCCCCCTGGGCAGGATTGTCTGGCTCCTAATGATGTGACAAGGGAGCAGATCCTGCAGGGACACGAAGGTGCTGGTATTTTCACCAAGGAGTTAACAGCTCTAAAGATTAGTAATTACACAAATAAGTATACAGCTGATGAAAAACCCTGTTATCCTGTACTTTTTACTTTAAAATTTATTGTTCCCAATAAGTGAATCAGGCCTCTCTTCAGATAATTTATAGAATACCAGTTTCCATAACAACATAATTGCTCAATGAAGCAAAAATACCTGGCAGAGTTGCCATTATCATGAAATAATTGACCACAACAGTGAGTGAAAGAGGCTGCGTTAAACCCCACCATTGCTTTGTGTCAACATGGTCAATTACAATCCAGTAATGCCAGATCAAAGACCAGCATTCCTAAAACAAGTCATTACAAATCACAGCATATCCCTAAGAAGCAGAGCGAGATCATAGTGAACAAGTATTTTTCTCTACAACACAAAGCACAAAGTCATGTCCAATCATTTAATGGTTGCAGAACTCCATGGCCTGCACCATGACAGGTAATTTTAAGACCTAAGGGTTTGCTGTAAAGAAATACAATCAAGAACAACTCTCTCAGATTGTGCCTTAATATGGGCAAAGGCACAAACTACTTTTTAATTCTTAATAGGAGTGTTTGTTTCACAAAGGCTTGGCAAACATTGTCATGTGTTAAGATTGAAGAGGGAGAACTCACACCCACTGCTGAAAACACCTAGTTCATTAAAAAAACACAGCACCAGCCTAGATGTAGATGTACATCTCCCCATGGAACCATTACATCTTTATCCTCCTGTGGGCTGCAGAAGCAGCCAGCCCACAGCTGGGTTTGTGTGGGAGCACTCAGACCCAATACCTCACATGTGAGTGTTCAATGCTATCCTGTACGTCCCCAGCCCAGCTCTCCTCTGCACCCTCTTGTGCTCACCATGCCCCTGAGACATTTTCTGTTTCTCTGCAGCTTCTCCAGCAGCTGAGTAGCTCCAGCAGTCTGTCACATGCTGCCGAAGGCACACTGCAATCCCAGCAGCTGGCACGAGGGTGTGTGAGGATGGGAGCCCTCTTGGCATAAGTATTAGAAGATCGTCCCACTAAGAAGGAGACAGCTTGGATCCCGTGTCCAGAGTCCCCCTGAACCATGGTAAGCCAAGAAGGAGCCTCAGGTGCAAGGCAGCATGTGTGTCAGATCAGGGTCAGCTGTGAACCAAAGCCAAATTTTTGGTGGGGTACTCCAAACAGATCAAGCTGGCCTGAAATATTGGCCATGCAACTCCTCCAGATCCAGAGTAGTTCTGTTTGTTCCCAGCACTGTCAGCTTTGTTTTGGAAAGACTGTTACAGAATGCTTCCAGACCTCACAGTTCACAGAGACTAAAACCTATAGCACAAAATAGTTACATCTCTAACTCCTATGTGCCATATTACAAGTCAGACCGTTCCCCTGTTCTTTTCCCTTTGCATCCCCTGTTCCTTACACACAGGCAGGGTGAGCACAGCATGGTATTGGCTCTGTCCTTGGGCACTCCTGAGTCATCCATGCTTTACCCCCTTAGCAGTCAAGGGATGTTTCCCCTGACTTCAATGCCATGAGTCACCGTGATGGATGAGTGGTCTTTCTGTTCTACCTGATGTGATATTGATAACCCTGGGAAAAAACAAACTTGTCAGAAACTCTGTGGAGATACTGAGCCCTGAGAAAAATCAGGATGGTCTTCTATTTTACTACATCTTGCTTGGTTAACACTCATAACAGCTTTCTTTCCCTTCTTAAAACTTCCCAGAGTTAAATGATAAATCTCTGGGTTTTTTTCACCCTTACCAAGCTCTGCAAATACACCTTCCCATCCTGTATCTCCTCTACTCAACATCAGAGAAAAGCTGGGCACACACATACTGGATAGCTTTGGACATTACAGAAGCAAAGAGAAAGAAAGTTCACACGAGTCTTATCTCTGGCTTTACAGTTCTGGCCTGTTCTGCAAGAAAGGCACATGTCCTTTAATTATTCATTAGGGTAACTGCAAACTCTCTGAGGCTGCCTGCACCTTTTGCAGCAGAAGAGGCTGTGGCTGTAACACCTCAGCACAGCGGTACAAACAACCAGAAAAAGTAAGATATTTGTCAGAAATAAAGTGCAGAAAAACAGAGAGAAGAATAAAGCAATTAATCATTCAGAAAGGGGGGAGTGCGGCAGGGAGGGAGAGAGAAATAGGGAGGGGAGAGAGAGAGGGAGAGAGAGAGAGAGAATGGCAAAAGAAACCTGATAGCTTGTGCTGCCTCCCCTGGAAGTCTGTCAGCCCACTGGCAGGAAGATTAAGGATGTTGATGGGAATTCCTTTCTCACCACAGTCGGCTTTAAAAGCACAGGACAATAACCTACTTTTACAGGTCTGGCTGTGGCTTTCCCACAACACATCTTTTTCTCCCTTTACTCTAAACAAAACAGGATGATCCCTTGCAGTGCCTGTTATCTGAGTGCTGCCCTCACAGCTGAGGTGAAGGTATTGATTGAAGCACTTGGACATTTATTGGATTTGCAGCTTTTTTGATGTGTGAAAAATGCTTTGTCCTGCTCAAGTCATACAGTCCTACATGCTCCAGCATTTGTTGGTGTAACCACCAAAGGTCCAGACCCTCTGCCACACTTCCTTTGTGAACAAACCAACCAGTGAAATCCCTGCAAGGCAGAATACAGATTTCAAAGCATCAGATTTAACAATATACTTGACACTGGGCTTGAAGAGCCTGCACAGCTTAGAGTTCACCTCCCCTTGACCCTCTGGGACGGACAATACTCACTGTTGTATCCACAGCTTAAGCTGGATTGCCTGTTTCAGGATCTTGCTCTTTTAGGAACCTGTTCAGCAAAGGGAATTTGCACTGGCAGGTTGCCCTGGATGGCTCCTTGAATCAAGTTCTCCAACCCTCCCCACAGCTTATTCACTGGATTCAGTACTTGTGGTATGGGGAAAAGCAAGAAGGGAAAAAAATTACTCAGAGGCAAGGTCAGTGCCACCCTTTTGCCCCATAATAGAACCTTTTGCTTCCTAGTTTATACAGACCTGCAAGATTTTGATCTGAGCAAGAAAAGAGTGATTGACCCTCTTACAAAGACTCTTACACCACTCTCTTACACCTATGCTTTATTTTCACCCTTGTTTGCAAATATCACAAAGAAGGCAAGGTGACATTTCTGTGCTCTGTGATGACATCACTGGCATCAGTCACTTGCTCTTGGTTCTCTGTGTGCTTGAGTCAGTCTGGCCTTTTCGCATTTTCAGAAAGGGCCATCCCTGGAGTGATTTCCAGGCTGAAAGATCATTTGTTCTGTACACACAGGAACCTTCTGTGTTGCAAGAGTGTCAGCTCTTGAAATGCCTGATCTAAATCTCCACAAGAGCTACTCACTATTGCAGTACCTGAGGAGTGAAGTCTCACATCAGCCTTCAAGCAGTGCAATTAAAACAAAATAATCTCATGTTTGACTTGTTTCCAATAACTGGTTCTTCTATTTTCTGGGCTGAGGCTCTCCAAAAGTCATAACCAAGCTGAAGAAGGGCAAGAAGAGTAGAAATCAGTGTTGGGTGTCCACTTACAGTCAGCAACTGTCCCAGCTCTCAGCTGAAATACATTTTAGGGTCCTAATATATAATGCCACCATTTCGTTGTAAAGAAAATGCATTGTTGGATTTTTAACAGGTTTCATAGGTATTTGATTGGAATGACACATACAAAATAAAATTCCAATAAGGTAGCACACAAAGGAGTTTTAGAAGCAGTAACATACTGTATTTCTAAAAAGCCAAACCAATAATTAAATTCACAGGACAATGGATTAAAAATTTTTTTTTAAAGTGGAAGTCAATAATATGTTGTGCTATAAACAAAGCTTTAATCCAGGGTTGCTCCAGATAACAGTTATGTTTTGCAGTCAATAGTCCCCAAAAGAACATTAAGCTTGTAGAGATGCCTGACTAAAATGATGGCATATTTACAATACATTTCACTGATTTATATGTGCTTTTCCCTCTCCATCCAAGCAATAGATTTTCTTCATCCCTCTCCTAACAGATGCAGCAATGGGGTTTGTTTCAGGCTTTGTTTGGGAGATTATAACCATCTCAGTATAATCTCTTTTTGTTTTATACACTGAAGGAAGCATTAGAGATGAAAATTAATGCCACAATGGATTTCATTAATCACACCAGGAGACTTGGTTTGCTGTAGTAGGCACTTCCAGCAGAAGGTGCTCACAATCAGTTTAAATATTAAACGCCCTCCTGTGTTTAAATAGAGATGATCAAATCTGTGCAATCACAGCTCCTCTTGGGACAGGGGTTCTTTTAAAAGGGAAAATATTGTCCAAACCATCTCACCTTATGGTCAATCCCTCTTTCCAGCAATGTAAGCATCTGTGGAACTACAAGGACAAAAGGACTGGAAAAGTCAGTGCCTAGGGGAATTGCTATGAGATAAAGGAGGTGTCACCTCTGGGTCACCAGCCAAAGGAAATCATAATGGTCATAAGGGCCAACAGTTACTGTGGTGGGACAGGTGCTGGCAGCACGAGGCACCAGTCTGCCCGGTCCTTGGAGAGTAGGTGCTCACATTACAAAAAGCAGCACTGCCCTTAACTGATGCTGCCAAGAAAAAGGCCAAGGATCAGCAGGTCCCCCAAGCTGGGCTGTTGGGGTGTATCCCCACTAAAGGCCAAGTCCCAGTGGCAGATGGCCAGAGGGAAGTTTGCATTCCCACAATTCACGTTCTAACTGTTTCGAATAATCAGCAGCTCTCCAGGGCCCTGGATCTGACGCCAGGCAGAAGCCAGCCCTGCTTGAAAACTGCAACAGTCACCAACTGTCCCAGCCGAAAACATCCTTGGACTGACGTGTTGGGGCTGTTGCATACAGATGAACATGGTCTAAGTGAAGAAAGGAAAGCAAGCCCCAAGAAAGCAGCATACAAAGAAAAAAGCTGTGAATCTCATAATTCCTGTCTGCAGAATCTAGGAATCAAAAGCACAAGTTCCCTATAAAATGTTTTTGTCCCATCATTATTAAAGCCTTGCTTGAAATTAGAGTATAATCAGATATTGAGGGAATGGGGTCTTAGCACATGTGACAATATATATACCCTGGTTTATGCTGCTGTATTGTGCCTCAGCCTCCCTTCTGTACTGGGATCTAAGCAGATAAAAAATCAACAAATCCAAAACTGAAACCCTAACCAGTCCTGCCCCTATCAGAGGGAATAGTACTGGGAGCTGAACTGACTACAACTCCCAACGTTCACTGAGGGTACCTTTAGGACAAATGTGACCCGAGAACATGCCAAACAATCTGAAATTGAAAGCAAGCCCCGGTGGCTGTTGGAAGCTGTAGTCGGCTCTCCGGGGTGAACTACTGAGCACAAAGATCCCGAGAGCTGCTCTGGCAACCGAAAGAGCCCCGCTAGAGCTCTGGGGGAGCGGGCGGCGAGCGAGGAGAACGCGCCGTGCCCCTCGGGGGTGCCAAGTTCCCTCCTGGAACTTCGCCGATGTTTTGGGGGGATTTTTGGCCTGGGCCTGCGACAGAAAGGGCGAGATCTGCCCGCGGCAGCCGGGGCCAGCAGGACCCGGTTTCCCCCGCGCCACCCGGGCCCGGTGCCGCTGGCGGCGGCTGCGCCGGCGGCAGTGGCGGTGGCCGGCGGAGGCGGACAGCGCCGGCGGCATGGAGCCGCCCGGGGCCGCCGCCCTGGAGCTGGCCCTGGAGGAGGAGCTGGCGCTGCTGGCCGCCGCCGGGGAGCCGCCGGAGCCGCCGCCCGCCGCCGCCGCTCGCGACCCCGAGCTGCTCTCGCTGATCCGGCAGAAGGAGAAGGACCTGGTGCTGGCGGCGCGGCTGGGCAAGGCGCTGCTGGAGCGGAACCAGGACATGAGCCGGCAGTACGAGAGGATGCACAAGGAGCTCACCGACAAGCTGGAGGTGAGGCCCCGGCCCCGGCCCCGGCCCGCGGGTTCTCCCCGCGCAACGCGGCCCCTTCCCTGGCGAGCGCCGGGGGCGGGCGGCGGGCGCGGGCCCTGCCGAGCAGCCCACGGGACTCGCTGTGGCCGTGGCGGGGAAGAAAGGGTCTGAGCAATGCCTGCGAGGCCTGGGGCAGGCAGAGCTGCCGTTCTCCCCCGCTCCCCCGGCCCAGAGCCGGCGTGCGGGGCCGCGGCCGGGCTGCAGCACCGCGCTCCGGAGGCTCCTGGGGGGCTGTTCTGCCCCAGGACCACCTGGGAGAGACGTGCGCGGCTCATCCCGTCACAGAAATACCTCGGAAGTTAAATTTGCACAGCAGGTACTGAGCTGCAGAGCATATGTGACCCTTATGCTTAAGCTGTTGCAGCTAAGGCTTTAGGCATGGCAGGAGATAAGCCCTAATGATACATCGCTGTTAGCCGTTTGCTCTAAAAAATGCCTACAGGTATCTGGGGAGAGCTGTTTGCCAGGAACTCGGGGGATTGAGCTATTTATTGGTTTTTAAAGATAAAGTAGAGCTATTACAAAGAAAAGGACTTGTGCAGGCAGCTTGGTTTTTGTTTTTTTTTTAACGACTCTCTTGCACAATTGTGAGAGAGCCACTATTATTCACTCTTCCTCATAGGTACTCTTGAAATTGTATTTCTTCCAATAAATAATACTGCTTAGAAGGCTAAAGAAAGCCTTTCTCACCTTTCTGGAGAGAGTTTGAACAGTGCTGGATTAACATTCACATTTCAAGTCACAGCCCTGAACCAGTTCTTTCTGCACAGTCCTGCATATTCCTGTGTTCCTTCCTCACAGACTTAACATTTCTCAAGTTCAAGAGGATTTGTGAAATTACTGTATGCCCTTTGTTCTCCTGACAAAAATTCCTCTATCTTATTAAGCTTGTCATTTACCCCAGCTGATCCCTTCCTTTTTCAAGGGACTCTCTCTGCCTTTGCTATTTTAATAAAAAAACAGTGAAGGTGACATTTGCTCAAATTGTTGCTTATAGGCTCTGTTTATCAGATGAGAATTTCCCAGAGTATTAAAATTTGCCAGAACGAATGTTTCCAGGTTGATTTTGAAGTAAGAACAGACATATGTGGTGTTGTGCTGACACGGTTTTCCCTAGGAGTTGGAGTAGAACCTTTCCTACCATTAAAGGAAAAATGCACAAGTTTAGGTACCCAGCGAACTGCCTCTTAGGGAGTTCAGGAGCCTCAAATACCACTCACTGCTTGCAAAATGTAGAGGTGAAAAGGGGAGGGGAGAAACTACGACTTTATAGTACTTTAAATAACATCCCACAAATGTTTACCTCTGCCCTCACAGGCCCACTCAGAAGGTAAATGAAGAGATTGTAAATACAACTATCTACATTACTACAACTATTACTATCATCCTAACTTCCCAGTGGAATAACAGATTGCTATTTTACAGGCTACCTATTTGAGAGGAGTTAGTGTTATCTACTTTAGGGTCATTTTTTTTTCCACTGGGTTTGGCAAATTTAACCCAGTGCTGCTTCACACAAAAAATCAAATTTCAACATTAATCTTCTAAAACACAAGCTTGATAATCCCAGCCTCTGCAGATTAAATCTCAGCCTCCTCCTGTTGCCACTGAAGTGAATAAAATTTCACAATAAGCTTTTCAATTTCAGAGGAGCAGAGAGGAAGGACCCACAGCTGTTCCCTCCTTCCCTAAGCTGAGAACTTTTTGACGGTGACTCAAAGCAAAGTCTCAGATGAGATCCTTGGTGACAACCTGATATAATGATGTTTAGCACTTAAAAGGAGATATTTTGTCCCAGTTCACAGTTCAGAATTGGTTACAAGAGCTCAGTGAAGCCTCTCCATTTCACAACAGCCAAGGTACTGGTCTGCTTGTTGGGTGCTTTGCTGCAAGATTAAATGTGTTCTAGTTTTGTGGGTTCATTGCTGAGGTGCAGCATTCCTGCCATATACCTCCTCTGGCACTTCACAGCCTGAATTTAAATTTATTTCTAATAATGAAATTGAAGTTCTGTAATAAATTCTGATATGTGATCCTAGACAGTTTTATCCCCTCTAAGGGATTAAAACAGTTAATAGTGCTGTTCCTCTGACACAGAGGAGCCTGCTGTGTCCAAGCATTTTACAGTATGAACCCTCCTTATCAGCTGGGAAACTCCCCCTTGCTTTTGTCTCTTCAGATGAGGACCAGCACAGCTCAGTTAAGTTGAAGACAAGCTGTTTTCAGAAGAAAACATCTTCTAGAAAGCAGTTCTGTATATAAATCAGTGAGCAGCTGGTGAATGGAGAGACACTCAGGAAACAAGAAACTCTCCTACTGAGGACAGCAGTTTGCTCTATCAGCACTACGTGCAGAAATCTCCTCTCCAGACCTGCAGCCCTACAGGTGCTGGGGTGAGGGCAGGCCAGGAGAGATGGCTGCTGACACAAGCAGGGGGGAGCAGTCAACACATCTCATCTGGGTTCTCCTCCTCTTTGCAACAGCCTCTCTGTGCCCCCCTGCTCTGTTCTGGTTTCTCTGTCACATCAGAATAAACTTCATATTCTTCACCTTCTTCCAATGCCAGCCTTTGTGATGGCCATTTATTGAGGCTGTGTGTAGTGGAGATTTTCTTTTGCAGTGAAAGACTAAAGTGCTTTTTAAATGATTGACAAGGCTTATCAGTGGCTTCTAAATCACATTTGGGTGTCTGGGGCACTTCAGCTGCAGTGCTGCTTCTCAGCAGGCTGAAGTTCCACTTTCCATTTAGAGAAGGCCCTGGATCTTTCTAAACGTTGCCTAGCAGTGAAAGAGGCAGAGCTATAAAAGACAGAATTTTCAGTGTGCTGCTGAAAGTGAAATTGTGGCTGCTCCAGCCACACTTGGACTACAAACAGGATTTTTTTGCAATGGTTGTCATGGGCCAGGCGCTGGGATCTCATGCCTACCTATTGCATTAAAATATTTATATTACTGCTTAGCTCTCATTTGCAAGGATGCTCATTCTTTTAGTGGCTGAAACATGGGGAAATCCCCTACTATGGGCCACTGTTTTTAATCAACTTTCCCCCATATTTAAGGGTTTTTCATGAAGGTATGGAATTTGCAGAAGGATTTGAAGGGCACAAGCAACATGCTGCTACACTGAGCTGGAAGGAGCATAGGAAAGGATTTGGGGATCAGGTGAAGAAAAAGAAAACATGGCATCTGTGTGGCAGAGCAAAAAAAAGGTGGAAGATTAGCAATACACAGGCCAGAAGCTGGAGAGGTACTGGAGGGTTTTGACATTCAGACCTGCTCAGGAAGGTGACAGGGACCCTGCCAGGGAGGCTGTGTGTCATCAGCAATAGGCACCCAGGGGAAACAGCCCCCTCACAGCCTGTGTTTCTAACAAGCAATAAAAAGCCACTTCACATAAATGCAGTGCAATTTTCTTTTCCACCTAGCAGGTTTATTTTTCCCTCCTATCAGAAGTGCCATGGGAATTGTTCACTAGGGAACAATTCACCTGGGAGAAATAGGCAAGTGCTACCTGTGTTTGGCCCAGTGGGTTTCTGTTCTTTTCGAAGATACATTCATTAAAGACTGGGGAATCTGACAGAGAGTAACAGGAGATTATTCTGGGCATCAGAGGGCAACCAGCAAGGAGAGGACTCCCGTTTTTCAGGCTTCCCTGCTAATCCTGGGACATGCCCATGTCCCCAATCTGTGACTGTTCTGAAAGTAAATGTGTGTCTTCAGCCACCAAGGGAAATTCAGGCTCAGGGTTTTGGAGCAGGGATTCTTTCAAATGGGCACAACATAAATCTGCTTTGACCTGATTTGCAGCTCTGTTTCAATCAAGCCCTCATTTAACTGAGCCTGTAAAACATGCAAAAGTTTCACCAGATTTGTGGTGTCCCTCATTTTCCAGCCAATCCAAAGCAGAGCAGAGTCTCCAGAACTGAGAGTGGTTTCTAAGAAACCTGAACCCAGAACATGGACATACATAATGTCTACAGCAAACAGTTCATTGCATCCATTGCCATTCCAGAGCAGGCTGCATCAAACAATGGAGTTACTGTGCACTATCAAACTCTCAGACAACTAATTAGGTCAGGAATAGAAGGAGCAAATGGATAGATGATTCAACTGTTGTTCATGAGACCCATAAGATAACAAGGATGCCTCATCTACATTCCTCACCAGCAGTAAGGGTATACAGTTTGTGTATTTTGATTATAAAAGCAATTTTTAAAAAATTATGCCACTGACCACTGAAATATTGCTTTGGAGTTAAGCTAGGCTCTGCTAAATCAATTGCTCTGTCTGACCTATATATCTCGCCTATTGACATGCAGCCTACTTTACTCTTTTGGCAGTTATTTCAGTAAAAATTCAATGTGCTGAACTCCAGTGGCCAAGGACAGGCCAATTGCTGGAAATGGAAAATGGCTTTAGTGCCAGTGACCTGCCCTGATGTGGAATTGTCATCTCCATGGCATTGTCATGCTCTAGCACCATCCTCTTTCCTGCACGAGGTTTTAGCCCTAGCATAGAGGAGGAAAAGGAAACATTCACCTTTTTCCCTCCCTTCCTAACCTCTTCTCCCCCATCATGTAGCACCTGGAACAGGAGAAGCACGAACTGCGGCGGCGATTTGAGAACAAGGAGGGAGAGTGGGAAGGAAGGGTGTCTGAGCTGGAGAGCGACGTGAAGCAGCTGCAGGACGAGCTGGAGAAGCAGCAGGTCCACCTGCGCGAAGCCGACCGCGAGAAGACGCGCGCTGTCCAGGAACTCTCCGAGCAGAACCAAAGACTCCTGGACCAGCTTAGCAGGGTGAGTCAGCTGGGTGGCACAGCTGGGCACGGGACAGGGTGACAGCTGTGCTGTCACCCACCTCTGGGGCAAAGGAGTGGGGAAGCTCCAACTTCCAGGGAAGCAAACAGTTCTGCCTCTGGTCATGTTATACAGGTGTCGTGATAAGACATGCTGCCTTTAAACTGATTTTACACCTCTAAGGAGTCATGCATTTCTTTGGTGAAACAGTTGTGTATCTGGGTTGAGTGGTCGTTTACTGCATTTACAGTTGTCTCTCTCAACTGTTTTTGTATCTAGAACTGATTTAGAAAATCTGTTTCTAATTTACTAATAGGCTGAACAAATGTAGCATGCAAGAAGAAGGCTAATCTACAACAGTGGGGTGAAAGGCTTTTTGCAGGCCTCCTGTTTTTTGAGATACATTGGCTGTAATGTTGTAGAATTGAACATACCATGTCATTCTCAGATGGTGTGTCACTACAGATAACTATGCCGTGGTTAGATGTGTGAGAACCTACTGAAATTCCTTGGAATGCCATGTTTCATCAAAGAGCTTAACTTGCCTCTGAATGAAAGAGGATTTATAGTGAGGCTGCTACAAATCAGCCTAATTGACTGAATACTTGCAGCATGAGTTTCTTTCTGACAGCAAAAGACTTAACAGTTTCTGCCTCCTTCCCACAGAAGTTAACCTGTCTTCTGGAATTAAGAAGCTTGATTTTTTTCCTCCCCACTGGACAGTTAGTACAAACCATAATTTTAATGCTTGAGAACACAGTTACTCCAGCAGACGAAAGCATTTGCTTGTTATCTGTTGCTTATTCCCAAAATAGCATAGAACAAAAACACACACAGATTCTGGCTGAAGAGGCCCACCTCATGCTGTAAGAACGTCTCTCAGACTAAATTCTGTCAGAGTTGAGTCTCTGGGGCTGACACAGGGATTTTGCCTGTGGGAGGGATACCTCAACACACAACACTAGGATCAGAAGACTCTGAAGAGGGCCAGATGTACAGGTCTTCATTCAAGCTATGTATGCAGTTGTCCTGTGCCTCTGGAGGTGAGAAGAGCTAGTGTTGGGTATGACACTCTGTACTGACACTTGAGGAAATCATTCCTCATTCCACTGTAGATTTTCTTGTCAAGGATTAAAAAAGTCACTTATTCCAATTTGGTTAACTAGCTTTAAAAAGAAAAGAGAAAAAAAAAAACCCAAAAGACCTGATCTTCCTTAGCTCAGGAATGCTGCTAAGTTTGTCCATGTTTTTAAAGCAATGTGTCCTAAGTGAGCTACAGATCTTTCACCTTTTCTCTGGACAGAGCATATTCCACATACACTGTGGATGAGATTTCCACCCAAGATTGCACAAGCCCTGTGCTGTGTCAGGTTTCTTATCCAGGGCTAAGAACTTGGCTCCTTCTGTGTGTGTATGATTTCTGTCACTGGCTGGGGAATGTAGGATTTGTTATTGCCCCAGCATAAGCATAAACTGGAAGAACAGACTAGAAGGTAGGAGAGGCAAATCAGACAGCTTGTTTTGGGCTTTTAAACCACATGGGATTACCCTCACATGATACTTGTGCTAAAGGAACCTCTCACAGCCAGATGCTCAGAGAGCCACTCCACAAAGCCTTGTCAGAGGAACCACCCAGTTAAGTCCAGCAGCATGTGGTGTCCAAGCATGGGTTTTTCCCTTAACTCCCTATTAGTGTCAGAAATGGTCTTCATTGACCCACTTCAGAGCTGCCACATTGAAAAATGCTAAGTATTGCTGCTGCCCTTCCCATTCCAGCCCAGCCCTGCTCCCAGCTTGGAGGACAGTTTTTCTCCAATGCAGATAAGCTCTGATAGAGACAGAGCTGATGTTTGCCGAGGCACGATTCAGTGCTCATTGAGTTTGTCACCTGGCCAAAACTTGCCAGTAACTCAAATACAGCAATGGATATAGCAAGGATGTAAACAGTTTTCCCGCAGTCAGGAAAACCTGGACAAATTGAAAGAAAGTGAGCAACAATCTGTTGTCATTCTCAGGGCTTTAGCTGAGGCTTTTTAAAATCTCAGCATTATATTAGCACTTGATTCCTGGCTGCTTAATATTCCGTATTTGCTGCTCCATAGTGTATTTGCAGTCTCATGTGTGTGGTCTCTTATTCTGAAGAGGTTACACATGTAATCCCTGAGGCAGTGACACTGCCTAAACCCTGCACCCATGTAGTTCTGGCTCCTGTTACCACTTAGGCTTCCAATTAATAAAAAGGATGACTAAGAGTTGCATGGGTGTGCTTGCCCACAGCCATACTGCCATAGGCTGGAATCTCTCCTGGGATTATGAAGTGAGCAATGGGAGAGGAAAAGCCCTACAAAGAGGTGCTGTTACAGCTTCTGTGACCTTTAAGGTGTTGCTGGTATCCTCCTTGTGTTCCTGGTTCTGCATTTGTGTCACCGTGGGTTGTTTGGGAGCAGAGGGTTATGAGAAGTCTGGGATAAGGTGATGGAAGACTTATTCAGAGCCTCAAGTCTGCCCCATCCAACACTCTATATCCTGCTTCACTCACAGGACACAAAGACAGGCTTCTCTCTGACAGAGTCATTCTACACTGGAAGGTACTGGCTTCCTTAAATTTGAATTTCTACAGTTTTTAGCAATTAACACCTCATGGCCCCACTTAACAACACTTGATCATCTCACTCCTGGAGAAGGTATCCCCTTGGCACTAGGCTCTGTCTGTTCAATGACAGTCAGCCTCAGGAGCTGCCAGCCCACATGGTCCTTGTTTCTTCTGGATTCCCTGGGCTTCAGCCTCTTTTATCTCAAAGCAGGGCAGCAGCCACCATCTGCTTCATCCTGCCCCTCCTCCTTCCTGCTGCTGCCATACTTTCACCAACTAATTAGTCCTTAGGACATTTTTTAAACTCTGCCTTCCCCAGAGATGAAAAGCCAACACATACTCACTTTGTCTAAACCTGGCACTAATGCCAACCAGCCAAGCACACACACCCACACAAGGACAGAAAGGGGATCTGGAAAGCTCTGTCTTGCAATTAATGCCTGGGACTGAAAAAATCCATCATCAGTTCTAGCAAAGACTGATAAGGAAAACTCAAGGATAGGAATTTTAAGTCTGTTCCAGTATCTAAAAATTAGCCTCTTGCCTCTGTCACCAAGAGGCTAAAATAAGGTCCTTAAAATGGTTTGAGGTCTTCCAATGAGGTGGTGATATAGGAGAACTTTAAATATCTAATAATAGTAAGTAGGCTATAAGGAACTTGGCCTCCTCTTGAAATACAGCCTTTGGTTCTCTGCTTTTAGCAGAACAAAGATACTGCCTGAGGTTAGAACAGCATTAAGCCATGGGGAAAATGTGGTTGGCTGGACTGGGAGCACATAATGAAAGATATGATTGAAATGCCAAAGAACAAGTTTAAGACCTCCACAGTATTTTTTTAATTTGCTACATGATGATTAAAATCCCTTCTGCATATTGCTTTAATTTCCTTCCCCCTGCCTCAGCACAGCAAAGGGTGCAGCAGCTCTCAGCAGTGTGTCCACACCAAGCTAAATGCTGAGTTTACCAAGGAGAACTGTAGAGATCCTCATGAGCAGTGTGCCAGGGTACAAACCACTCACCAGAACTGCTCAGAGCTAAAGTATAGGAGGAAAAGAACAGTTCTGCTGAGAAAGTCAAGGCTTGGGAATTATTACATGTTCTGTTTCCAGCTCCTTCAGTCTCTCCCATCTGTTTCAGTTCCCCACAAGGATAAAAAAAGAAAAAGAAAAAAGAAAAACACAAAACCCACAATCCTATGCCTTCTGTCCTTTTAGGGGGAGTGTGTATAGGAAAAGGTCTCCTCTTACATGTGCCCACAGCAGGTAGCACAGCAAGAGTCCTGTCCCCACCTTCGGGCTTCTGGGAGTTACTAATACAAATAATAATAACAAGCAGTCATATTTCTATAATGAGGCAACATATTACTACTTTGTCAGGAAGTGAATGAAAAAAGACTTCCACGCTGTTTCTGAGTGCCTTCACCAGATGGCTTTCCCACACATTTCCTGCTCCCCAGCTCTGGCTCCTGGAGCTGTTTGCTGCATGTAGCTTGGGCGAGGCTCATCCTTCCCAGTACAGCTGGGCTTCTTTTATGGTTCAAGGAGCACAGGGGAGCGATTTCACAATGTCAGGCTCAGGTAGTTTTTGCAATGCAAATCTGTTTCCCGGGGCAGTGGCAGAGTGTCATCTTGCACTGCTGAAACAGCTCCTTGTGTTTAGGGGGGAATGCTGGGCTGCTGTGGCATCCCTCAGAGGGGCCCTCAATCACCAACTCCTTAGATTCACTCAGCATCTAGAGCCAGCGTGCTGCTACAAAAAATGAGGTGTTTCAGTCAATCCCTCTGCTACAGCAAGAACAGGAGCAGCCAGCCCACAATTCTCCAAAGGAGGTATTATTTACTAACCACAAAACCCTCCTTTCAGTAATATTTCAGTTGAAGTTTCTCACTTCAAGCTCTAACATGCAGCATGTTAGAGAACTGGCAGGCACTGCCTAGCTTTGCTTTGAAAGAAACAGGTTTTTATTTAAGAACAAGCTAAGCATAATGTATTCTCCTTTCCAAATTACTTGTATTTTAAATATATCCTTTTATGGTCAAGAACACGCAGGAGAGGCAAGTCTGTTGTCAGTTATTTATTTGAAGAGATTTTTCTGAATGGTTGGTTGCTGGGTCTATCAGCATAGGAACAATGTTAGTTTTAAGAAATTCAGATTATTCACTGAAAAAGAAAATTATTGGAAGTGCGCTGCACTGCTTTTGCCATGCCAGAGATTTCTAGCAATTACACTATTAATTATGTCCTTATTTTATCTATACAGGTGCTTAATGCAAGCCTCCTTATGTCTTGTTTATTAAATTGTCTCCAGTAGCCCAGGAGGGTCTATTGGGAGTTCCATCCTTAGCACAGAGGGAAGTCAGACTGAATTTAAGTCCTGCTTCAGGGGATTTATTTTTAACCAGACAAA